AGTTTTTGCATCCTGAATGTCGGAGGTCGCAGGTTTTCCTTCTCAGCCGAGCTGATGAAGCGCCTCCCTCTCAGCAGACTCAGCCGGCTGCATCTCTGTGTCTCCGAGAGCGAGCTTCTGGAGCTCTGCGACGACTACGACCGCGACAGGAACGAGTTTTTCTTCGACCGGCACTCGGAGGCCTTCAGCTTCATCATGCTGTACGTGCAGCATGGCAAGCTGCGCTTTGTGCCACACATGTGCGAGTTGTCCTTCTACAACGAGATGCTGTACTGGGGCCTGGAGAGCTCGGACCTGCAGCCCTGCTGCCAGCGACGCCTCGACGACCGCATGTCCGACTGCTTCGTCCACTTCTTCCCCGAGGAGGAGGCGCGGCGTCCCGAGGAGCCCCAAAGCCACTGGCTGGAGAGAATGAGGAGGACGTTCGAGGAGCCCACTTCCTCACTGGCGGCACAGATCCTCGCCTCGGTGTCAGTGCTGTTCGTGATCATCTCCATGGTGATGCTGTGTGCTAGCACCTTACCTGACTGGAAGGCCGCAGAGACCCTGGACCAGCACAGGTAGGACCCTTTTCAGACCACTACATCCATGTCTTGAATCAATCTCTGACCCTCTCTGATTGGTTCTCTCTCTCCTACCTCTCTCTGATTGGCTGTCTCCCTGCAGGATCATCGAGGCGGTCTGTATTGGCTGGTTCACAGCTGAGTGTATCGTCCGTTTCCTGGTGTCTCGTGATAAATGTGAGTTTGTCCGTCGTCCTCTGAACATCATTGACCTGTTGGCCATCACGCCGTACTACATCTCCGTCACCGTGACGATCCTGACGGGGGAAAACTCTCAGCTGCAGCGTGCCGGCGTCACACTGCGCATCCTGCGCATTATGCGGATCTTCTGGGTGATCAAGCTGGCGCGTCACTTCCTGGGCCTGCAGACGCTTGGCTTGACGCTGCGGCGCTGCTACCGCGAGATGGTGATGTTGCTGGTCTTCATCTGCGTCGCCATGGCGATCTTCAGCGCGCTAGCCCAGCTTCTGGAGCATGGCCTGGACCTGGAGGCCGGAAACGAGGACTACGCCAGCATCCCCGCCGCCTGCTGGTGGGTCATTATCTCCATGACGACGGTGGGATACGGCGACATGTATCCGGTGACGGTGGCGGGCCGCGTGCTCGGCGGCCTCTGTGTGGTGAGCGGCATCGTGCTGCTGGCGCTGCCCATCACCTTCATCTACCACAGCTTCGTCCAGTGTTACCATGAGCTCAAGGTGCGCTCCGCCCGCTGCAGCCACAGCCTGTCCGCCGACTTCATCAACTGACCGCCACGCCACCGCTGAGTTCATCAACTGGCCAAGGATAAATACTGTTGCCAAGGTGGATGCAGAATTTCCAAACAATCATCCATCACAGCTGTTTACTCCTGACTGCTCCTCAGTGTTGCTGCTGAAGCAGGAAATACTGCAGACATCAATATCTTAGTCACCAAACTACAAAATGTCACATTAGTTCCTACAAAAACAACTTAACTTCAGCTGTTTGTTTGCTGCTGCCTTCAGGTTTGTCTCAGGTTTTAGGCGCTTTATGTTTTATACCCACCACAAGTATCGAGCAGTCAGTAACCTTTTATTTTCTGTAACTTCAGAATCATCTCCATTGTAGTTTCATGGACAGATCCGTGTGATCTGATAGAAATTATTGGTGAATAGCCACAATGTTCAGAGGTAGTTACATAATAAATCTTCACTCATTTACCTGAGTTCTTACAAAAGAATCAGGGCAGTAGACACCCACACAGCTGTGCAGAGTCTAGTACAAAAATCTTCATGACTGAGATCCATTTAAAGTCACATACATATTCATTTATCTGTTGGAATCTTTATCGGTAGAATCGTCTAAAATCAACAAAAATGCATTGAAAGTGGATGAACTGGACACGACTCACCACCTCACATCGACCTTTCATCGAGCGGCTCAGCTCAGAGTTGTTTGTCACATCAGAGGCTCCGTTTTTTTTCTTCTCTGCTGCAGAGTTCAGTCCAACCAAATCTAGGTCATGATGACTGCATCATTGTATTTATATCACTGAAATATTTCATTTTGAAAACCAATACCTTTATTCCATCCATCCATCCAGGCTTGAATTATTACCTTCAGCATCCCTCACATATTGAATTTTAGTGTGTTGATAAACCATGCATCCAGCATTTTCCACACTTATTTATAAAAGAAGAATTTGGTCACCTCATACAAACTTCAGACCAAGCATATATGATGATGAAGTGGAGATTAAATATAAAGTGAAAGACATGATCTTATAGTAAAACATTTTTTGTTCAGGTTTTTTTTCCCAACATCTCTGACTGTTAGTAGTTTTTTCAGGCTACACAAAAATGTCAAAGGTGTATTAATAAATTTAAATTTCACTCTTTCTGTTTACATTCTGTCAACATTTCCCTGTAAATGAGCTTTTTATTTTATCCTGAATTGAGAAGCACTTTGTTTATATTTGCATTTTTCCTTTTACATTTACATTCACTCATCTTTTATCCAGAGTGACTCACAAGTGAGGGACACGACTGAAGCTTCAGAGCAGTAGGAGACCTTGGTGTAAGTACTACATCTATTCAACAAGTGCAAGGAGATCGGGTAGAGAAGAGCGAAGTGAGTGTGAGGTAATTAATATATAAATTAATCAGTGATCGTCCCTCTGATGTTTAATGATGATGATGGTTTATAGTTGTATGTGATGAACTGGTGATACAGCCGGTGTTAAATAATAATGGTTCTAATGTAACGTTCTGCTGCTGTTGGAGAACCTCATCAGTGCGACACAGAGGTGGAGAACCCCTCCCCTCCTCCTCCTCCTCCTCGTCTTCCTCTTCCTCTTCCTCCCCCCTCCCAGGACAGACTACACATGTTCAGCTGTTTGTGTCTGTTTTTGTTGGACAGTTGTGGGTTAAACTCTGTGGTGTAACTGGACACCGTCCACAGTTTCCACGGCAACGGCAGACTCAGAGACAGGAAGTGGAAGTGTTGGAAACATTTGGTTTTGAAAGTGAGGATGTACGAGCTGCTGGAGTGTGAAATGTCTCACTGGAGAAAGACACTTCTTCCTCTAACAAAGCACAATTACATGGACTGTCCCTTTAATCTTCAAACACTTTTTATTCCTTCTTTTCCTCTATCCTTTCTTTTCTTCTTCTCTATTCTTTCTCTATTCTTTGATCATCTTGAAACATGTTAATAATCATCATCATCACTCTTTCTTTATTCTTCCTTTTCTGTTTCTCTTTCATCCTTCCATACTGTGAAATAAAACACATTATATCTGCCCATGTTTTCATGTCTTCATTAAACCACTTTTTTTACATATTTTATTGGCATTTTTTGTAACACAGAAAAAAAAACACAATAATATAAAAAAGAATGAAGAAAAACATGCAGACATTAACAAACAGGCAGTTTCACAAAGTACAGGCCTGAGGCTTGTGTCATTGTGATGGGTTATGAAGACAGAAATAGAAACATAAATAAATGTTACTTACTCCATTTGGAGTTACACTCAGGGAGGTGGGGGTTAAAGCTGAGCTCTAATGTAATTCATAAATGGTTTCCAACATTTCGCACAGTTATCAGAGGAGCCACAGATCATGAATTTCAATTTCTCATGTCTGAGACGTTGCATCACCTCCTTCAGTCACTGAGTCCAGCTCGTGGATGAGGAGCCTTCCAGTTGAGAAGGATCAAGTCTGAATCATACTATAGTTCTCTTCATTCTTTATTATCATACTTTATTTAATGTTCTTCGTCATATGACATTTGGTGATGATGGTTGATTTTATATGAAAGTTTGAATTACAATTTTCATTGCATTTCCTTAATTTCATATTTTAGTAGGCATTAAAAATAGGAATCGTAAAAATAATTTATAAATGAATGATTAATCCATCAGTAAATACTTCAGATTTAAAAATGGATTTACAAAAACAGCATAAAATTCTCATTAATAAACCATTTAGAAATACACTAATTAATTCATGAATAAATAATTAAATTTGAACTACTTTTTAAAGTATTCGAGAGGGCATTTTAAAAATGGAAATACATACCCGGATTCCCTCTTCAACTTCCATTTACCTTTTCCAGCTATTGTTCCTATTAGGTGACTGATTTGCTTAGTCATTTAGCTTCTCCTTTTAGCCTTTCCAAGACACTGTGGGCCTTTAGTGCTGGTAAAACCCACTGGTTAACTCTCCAACTAATCAGAGAGCTTGTTACATCCCATGTTTTTCCAGTATTTATTGATGGATTAATTGTTCATTTATAAATTCTTTTCACAATTCTTATTTTTAATGCCTATTAAAATATGAAATTAAGGAAATGCTTTATTACTTTTCCTGTGACTTTACCGGTCATCCATACAAAACATCATGAAACTTGGATGGATATCTCAAAAACCATGAGAACTGCTTCCTCACACCTCAATGCTACTCATATTTAAAAAATGGTAGCAATAGTGTCACCATGTAGTGAAATATTAGCTAACAAATAATGTTATGGCTAATATCTCAGCAACCGTTAGGTGTGGAAGAAAAATGGTATCTGTTGTCTATGGATTCAGTAGATGATGCCAAGAGATTTATATAAACTTCGCCTAATTCCGTCATAATTTTTTTCCCGCCATTTTTAGTTATTTGCTTGACATACTTTTGACTCCCTATTTCCTACATCTTCCATCAAACTTGGTACAAACCGTGGTTCGGCGACCACAAACACTGTCCACATGTTTGATTTAAGATATCATGTGTCGTTTTTCGGAAAAAATGATATTGATTATATTTTGGCTTACAGTGGGTAGAAGTGGAGACGTGTCGTCTATCTTTATGTATAGATTGATTTCTATTGAGTCATTACAGTCGGGCACGTCGCGGACACCTCTCCTGCAGGTCCTTCAGTCCGGCTCTGACGTCATCGCACCGCGCGGTGTCGGCATCGGGAGGAGGAGCAGCAGCAGCAGCAGTCTGCTAAGCGTCAGAAGCAGGTGAAGTGTCCGAGTGTCCAGGTGTGTTTTACCTGAGTTTTACCCGCTACTCAACATGTATTACAAACTGAACGGAGTGACGCAACGGCTCACCGGAGCTCCGGCCAACGCCTACAACCCACAGGTGAGACCGGAACACCGCGTGACCTTCTTAGCACCGAGAGAGTAGCTAATGCTAATGCTGGAAGATAAAGAGGATCAATACCGAGGATCCTATGTATCGATTATCGGTCGGTCGATTACTGAAGAGTCAAATATAAAATACAAGTTTATTTTTTACCGGTTATTTCATTAATGTTGATGATTGATCAGTCATCATTTCTGATGATCAGTAAACAAACAGCTGCGGACAGGCTTAGGACACATTCGATCAATAAAGACGATATTCATTGATCAGCTGTGCATTGATCACCTCTGTATTGATCAGATATTAGTCTCTAAACGAGCTGATGATAGACAAGAGGAACAAATTGATGTTTATTTGAAAGACAAAATGATTGATAAATTAATGGAGAAACTAATAATTGATCGATCAATGATGAAAATAATTTGGCGTCTTTATATCAGCAATTCAGATTCAACATTAAAACAAAATGATTCTTTATTCTGATAAGTTTGTTTCTTCACTCAGTCACGATTACTGATCACTTTCATTATTGATTAATCTGATGATTGGTTTCTTATTAATCTAATTAATCTGTGAAATGTCAGAAAATAGTCAGAAAATAGTTCAAGTGTAAATGTTTTTCTCTTCAAAGTCTAAAACAGTTGTGAAGGAATGAACGGATTATTGATTAGAGGATGAAGTGTTTCCTGTCAAACAGCTGCAGGTTAAAACCTTTACTATTATTTATTATTGTTATTTATTTTAATCACTGATAAAACTCTGACACATGAACAAATTGACACCAGAAGATGAGAGCAGATTTTATTGATAAATGGCTGAAACCACTAATCAGTTATTAAGATAGTTTCTGTTGATGAACCGAGTCGATCAATCAGCTGATTATTTCTGCTCTGAACCAAAACAAACATAGTTACAGACCATTGTTAGTTAAATATTAAACATCAAACAACAGGACTGATCCAGGATCTGGACAAATAAAGGTTTTAACCTGCAGCTGTTTGAAAGTTTGTTCTCTGTAAACTTCTTCTAATAATAAACAGCTCATCAGGAAGAACATCTATGTTTTCATACAAACAAATAACAGTCTTGCATTCAGGGTGTTACCAGGAAACTGTGGCTACAATCGTCCTGTCAGTTTTATATTATTATATAATATATTGATCAGAGGTGAAAAGTAACAAAGTTCATTAACTCAACTACTTTACTGAAGTTCAGTTTGAGGTTCTTGTTCTGCTTCATTACATTTCAGATCTTTGTACTTTTACTGCTCCACAGAATCACAGAAGGCATCACCTGTAAAATGATCTTCAGAGCTGAAACAAGTCAATTAATCAATGAGTCCATCAATCAATCAGCTACTATTTGATAGTTGATTAATCATTTCAGTCGTGTAAAACCAAAATTTTAAAGTTACCCGAGCTGGGGGGGCATTGTCCCTGTGTCAGTGCTGGTAACATTAGATGAGGGCTGTGGTTTTTTGTGGTAATGCATACATAATAATGATAATAAATACTGATTTAGACATTGATTACCATGGCAACAGTTGAAGCTTCAAAGCCTGGACACATTCAGCTGAGCCCTACACAAAGTTAATATTCAACTAACTGGATAATTGTTTCAGCCATTTTTAAGCAGGATCAGCTGGTTTTGTGTTTGTATTGGTTTTGATAATAATCAATAGATTCCTCAGTCATTGAGCTCAGTTTGAACTTTGATGTTCAGCAGCTGTTCTGTGATCAGTTCACACTGAGACCTGCTGTTGGTTTAATGTAAATGATGTTAAAACAGACTGTTCTGAGGTCTGTTTGTGTAATATAATTATAATCCAATAATATAGAGAATTTTTCTACTTGTTTACTTTTATTCTAGTAATAATTTGAATACAAGTATCTTTATTACATACTAGTATAAGTGAAAGATGTGAGTACATCTTCCACCAAAAGTAAAAAATACTGGTTATGCAGAATAATAAGTATCACGTATAATATTTATTGATGTATTTGTATTCAACACTTTGATGGAGCAGAGAGGATACATCTGTAGTAATTAGCTTAATAAAAATGATAGCAGTTCCCTAATGTAACTACATTAGTGTGATTCTGCCAATAAAAACCCTTTCTACTATTTTTAATCTAATTTACAACATTTTCTGAGGAGCAGATTCATTTAAGTGAATGATGTGTCCATTAGGAGAAAAGAGAGTTGGTCCTTCTAGATGTTTGGATTGAAATAATTTAATAAAATAACAACATATTGGGATGCAGCAGAGGATAAATCAGCCTGTGTTCACCACTCAGTCGTGAGGAAGTGCTTCCTCAAACCACTTGTCTTAAAACCCAGTTCTTTCACACTTGAGATGTTTGGACCAGAACTAATAAAATTACACATAATGTACACCATACCCACAATCTGTACTGGAAGCAGCGTTCCCATGGTTTAAACACCACTAATGATTTATTAGAGGGTGGTGTTTTCCTGTCATACAATGATTCAGTCGTTGTTTTTTTTTTAATTTGTCAGGAAAAGGAAATTTTTGGAAGTTCTCTCAGATAAGAAGTTGAATTATGTCAAAGTCTTATAATGTAGCTGATAACAGAAGTATTAACCATCTTTTCCATCAGTAAGGAAATATAAAACTGTATAAGATGTAGTTTAGTCAGACCACTCTGGATCCAAGTATAAGTCCCAAACACCAAACACATCCAGCTGTGTATTTTCAGTTATTATTGTGGGTGTAATAACAGATTAACAGTCTGTGGAGTTATTTTAAAGTAAAAGTATTTATTTTATTTTACACTGTGTCAATTTGAATTTCTTCTACAGGGGGATCAATAAATGTAGATAGAGGTAAATCTTATCTTAAAAATCAAAACAAAATGCTCGTTGACGGAGTGAAGTAATCCTTCAGATCCGTGTGAGTGATCACTCTGTGCACCACATAAATAACTCTGGTGAAATTGGACTGAAGAACTGCAGTTTTCCCGTCCTCTCACAGCGTTTGGCTGCTCACCAACATCTGTGTTCGGTCAGACATCAGTGGGCAGCTCACTCTCCCTGTGGTCCTTAGTCAGCTGACTGATTTACTGTAAGGAGTCGATTCCTCTCTCACTCCTCTCACAGCCTTATTTTCTCTGACATTTACATTTTTCAGACCTCAGTCTTCAGTCCTCTTCAGATTTTCTCCCTGGTTCGTACTGGGACTGATAATGACCAGGACAAATCCTGCTGCATTTGTAGCTTGTTGTTCTGTTGTTGTCTCTTTTCAGACTGAACATCTGTATATTTTGAGCTAATTGTGGGATATTATCAATCATGTTGTCTGTTTTGTTTTGTTATTGCTTTTGACTGTTTTAATTACATTATACATGTATAAACCCAACTACATACAGGAGTTGAGAATTAGCAACAGCTATAAACTCTTTGTGCAACACATTAGTTTCATACCATGTTTTCAAACTATGTTAAATGACATTGTCCCTGTCAAATAAATAAATAAACTAAAATAAACATTGGTGGACCATCAAAAAATCCATAAAGTTTTCACCATCTCTTACCAGCCCCTCTGTGCCTGTAATTCAGGGTGCACATGAGAGCATGCTGAGTGAGAGACTCTCTGAACTCACTTTCACTCATCATGAATTTATTTCCTCTGTGGCAGCAGAACATGTTAGAGCAGCGTTCACAAACTGCTGCTGAAAGACTCACTATAGACAGACTTAAACATTCGCTAGCATAGCAACGTAGTAAGGCTGCAAATAACCCACAATGCAACACTGTAAAAGACTGTAGTTACACTGGTCTCTATTCAAAAAAATGTGTTATAATGAATGAACATCTAAGTGTGTAGTCTTGAAATATAAGACGAGCCTCAGCTGCAGAGCAAACACGAAACAAACACTGACAAACACAAACACTAAAGGCGTCACCCGGCCCACTGGTAACACCTGTCTCCACCTGTGTGTGTCTCCTCAGGGTCTGCGTCCAAGTGTCCCACCTGTTAGTCCCCCCGCCATCTTCGCGTCTCCGACCAAACTGGCATCAGAAGCAGGAGGTCAGGTGGAGTACATGGGACCCAACAGAGTCCAGGAAATGCAGAAATTATTCCAGGTAAGTCACCTTTATGGAGGTGAAACTGTTTACCTGACAGCTGGCAGCCAATCAGATGGCAGGATTCTATTTTTAAGGTTCTTGAGAGGTGAACAGGTCCTATAGGTCAGGGATGAGGAGACAGAAGTCCTTGAATATATTCAACGGTCCTTGAGGGGGTGAAAAAGTTTTAGGTCTCTAGTCACATGTAGTTGAACATTAAACTTAGTTAAACTGAACTCTGCTCAGGTGTGTTTGTTGTAATCATGTGACCTGTATGAGGTGATATAAGCCCCGCCCCTCACTGGTAACCTGTTTCCTCCTCGTCTCAGAAAGCAGATGGGGTCCCGGTCCACCTGAAGAGGGGTCTGATAGACAAGCTGCTGTACCGGACCACCATGGGTCTGACTGTGGGGGGGGCGGTATACTGCCTCGTGGCTCTGTACCTCGCCGCCCAGCCCGGCAACAAGTGATGTTACAGAGCTGCCGCGTTCTGATTGGACCAGAATTTTCCAGTGTATGTTAAGTGTGAATGGGCGACGAGGCGTTCAGGGATGAGTGGAGGTCTCTGATGAGGCATTCAGGGACAGTCTGTCTGCAGATAAAAACACTCTGTACAGAAATATGATTTAGTGTGGTGAATTAATAATAAAGTATATTTTGTTGTAAAAGAATCAGTGTGTGTGTGTGTTTCTGTGTTTAAATAATAATAATAGTAATAAATAATAATAAATGTTTAAATGATAATAATAATAGTTCCAACAGGACAAATTTATGAAAATATGGGAAAGATGGAGAAGAGAAATGGTACACCCCAAGTTTTTTCTTTATTTTTTTGTGTCTGGTTTTTTGTTTTTAGTTATTTACATTGGTTCGATTTGTCTGTTCAGTATTTAATGTATTGGGTATTTACTTGTTTGTTTTTGTTTTGTTTTTTGTTTTCTTGTTAGATGCCTATAATATCATTTACTTCACTGGTCCTAAATTGTTTTTGTACTATCTATTTTGACTCATCAGTCTCAGTCTCATAGAATGTTTTAAAAGTATCATGAAGTAATACAATAAAAAAAGAATTAAGAAAAAAGGAAATGTTTAAAATAAACAGACAGGTACTTGATGGACACACACCTGTGGACAGGTGAGGTGTAATCTTCCTGCTGCACATTCAGTCTGTGAACCAAACTCCATTCACATTTTGATCATTTTTACAGTCTGTGGTTGTTCTGTGGTTTTCCAGATGTTTCACATGTGTCAGCTTCAGAGTGAGGAACTGAAACTCTGCTGTCAGACTGATGTGAGACCAGTTTGAGATCAGGCAGCTGCAGAAAAAAAAAAAACATCTGTAAAATTTAAATATAAATTATTCTGATTTCACTGGAGACAAAGCTGTGAGACATCAGATCTGTTGTTTGTTCCTCTGCTCTGAGTTGATCCTGTCTTTATGAATCCTGATCCTCCTCATTATCTCTGTCTTATGTCGCTGGATTTTCGAGGATTATCTGTTCTCTCAGCTTTATTATAAACCCGTCCAATCAATACACCAGCAGACCTCAGATCAACTTCACCTGAGCAACAGCCAGATGCCGAGACTGGAGACATTTCTCCACAAACTGATTTTATATTTTTAAGTTTAATTGATTTATTTATTTTAGTTTTATTTATTTTTGCACAATTTAAAAATTGGCTTAGTAATGTTGTAATATCACAAAATTATTAAAAAAAAATGCAAAATGAACATACAAGAAAATAAAGTGAAAAAATGATGAGAAACTAATAGATTCAAACTATATATACTAAAATTACCAGCAATAATAACAGTAATTTTAAAATTAAGAGCAGAGGTTGTGATGTGCATGAGTTTAACTCCATGAGCAATAGTATTAAGCAAAACAAATAAAACATTAATACATGGACTGTAATACAATATAAAACAGCAGCTAAATGGTCTTTTAAAAATCTTTTGTAACATTTTATAGAAGAACAGTTCTTTGCCAAATGGAGAAAATAATTCCCATTATTTGTTAAAAAAAAAATCCTATTGAACCTTGACCTCTGGAGGATGAAGGTCAGAAGATTGACGAGTTGGAAAAAAAAGCATGGATCTGTGAATTTGCTTTAAAGTGAGTTTTGAAATGCTCGGGAATATTCCCTTCCATTGACTATAACTTGAAAGTATTGATATGAATATGAGAATCTGTAGTTTGTGAAATAGAGGAGCAGATCAGTGATGTGATAAGTGATGAGTAGTAGAAGTATTAGTAGTAGTCTTAGTAGTAGTAGCAGTAGCAGTAGTAGTATTCTTGTTTTTGTGCAGCTGAAACAAAAGAGAATCTGAACAAAGAAGACGAGTGGAGTCTCCATGGTTCCTGTGAAGCCTGTTGTCAGATCTGTGATGAGTGTGATGAAATGTTTTCCAGTGGATAGAAAGATTTTGTGTTCAGAGCAGCAGGTTTTTCTCTAAGTGTGTGTGTGTGTGTGTGTGTGTGTGTGTGTGTGTGTAGGCTGGATGCAGTCAGACGGCAGGAGGTGGTGAACTGATTCATTCTGTCAGAAAAACTGGTTCAGCTTTCATCTGACGACCTTCACATCTCATGCTCCACACACACACACACACACACACACACACACAGCTCGTTTTTGTCCTTGGTTCAACGCAGGAGAATGTGAATGGACTCTGGTCACAGTCAAAGGTGACACGTTGGTATGTGTGTGTGTGTGTGTGTGTGTGTGCGTGTGCGCAGCAGAGCCAGAGGAGTTGGGTGTTAATGATGTTCATGAGTTCATCTGTAAAACTGATCAGATCACACTTCATCTGTTACACACACACATACACACACACACACACAGACACACTGAAACACACTGAGCTCAGCCTCATGAGACACGATCCTAATATTGTGTAGCGTGTCATATCACTGGCTCTGTTGCCATGGAGACGGTGATGGGATGCTTGAGGTGAGGCGTCGCAGTAACAGATCACAACACAGTCTGAACTCTGTCCAAATTATTAGGAACATGTAAACGTCACAGCAGCGTTTTCACTGAATCATTTCCACATTGTTTTGTTTTTTTCCATCTTATTCTGACATATTTTCTCCTTATTATTAGAAAACAAATTATTCAGAGTTTCTTCTCTCAGTATAACAACATATGAGCGCAGTAGATAACTGCATTTTTCAAATGTGGATACAAATACTAAACTTTGACAAAACACCACTCAAAAATTCAAATTGGCCACCATTTCCAAGATGGCTGATATTTCTGGCAAGAAAATGTCATTTTTCACCCACAATGTCTCTTATGAATCATCTAGGTGTCTAATCAAACATTTTAACAACATTTAGTACACTGTAAATAATTGACCTGTGAAAATTGTAACAGTTTACCTATATTTTACAAATTAAAAGTCCTGCTGAATTAGAACAATCATAGCGAGGGACAGGCCAAAAACCTTGTCAGCATAAAAATAATTTTAATCATTTAAAATAATATTCAATTGACATTAGATCCACTGGATCTGTTCCCTCTGTAGTCCTGTGAGGCCTTGACCTGACTCTGTGAACTGCCTTGAGTGCTGTACAAATGAAATTGAATTGAACTGAACTGAATTAGAGTCTAACCCAGAATCCTGTTTCACCGTCTCCATGGTGACGGAGAACATCGGGTCACTGTCTCCATGGTAACAGCAGGATTCAGGCTGTGGAGACTAACAGAACTTTTGAGGTAAAAACTGATTCGGTTTGACATTGTTGTTTAAAATCTCACAGCCTGTCTACTTACTTTTGGCCACAAGTGCAACTGAAAAGCTGTTCTTGTTGCCACTTTATAGTTTTTTCTTCTAATTGATTGATTAAATATTTTATTATCATTATTAATTAATTTCTATGACTTGCTGTGACCTCAGCAGCCTCGCAGGAAGTTAATTAAGAGCAGCAGCACCAGTGGAGAGGCATTAACGAGCCCCTCACATCATAAACAGCTCAATGATTAACATGCAGGCAGCATGGAGCTGGGATTGGCCGACATCACAGTTGATTGTTACCTGATGATGTCATGAATATGCAAATTTGCAGCTGCAGCTTCCTTCACTCAGGACATGAAGTCCTTGTTCAGCCTGGATTTCTGATCTGCTCAGTGAATTCAATCATTGAAGTTGTTCTGCCTGTATGGTTTGGTCTGGTCTGGTCTGGTCTGGTCTGGTCTGGTCTGGTTTGGTCTGGTCTGGTTTGATTTGACTTGGTTTGGTTCAGTCTGGTCTGATTTGGTTTGGTGTTCTGAATCTGACTGAACCAGTTGATCAAGGTGCAGCAGCTCATCTTCAGGACGTTTATTGTGAAAGGGTTGATCAATAAGGCCCAGATGATTGGGAGCTGTTCTGATCAAGTTATAAAGATAAACACTGTTTGGTGAAACATCAGGTTTACTGTTTCTGCATTAATCTGCATATTAATGAGGTTCAGCTGCTCTGATTGGTTGTTGTGGTTCAGTGTGGAAGACTGATCATTAATAATCATTAATACGATCAACTCATTAACGTAACTAATGACTGTCAGTGAGCTCATCAGTCAGCTGGTTCATTATAACATCACAGAGATAAAGTTATTAATTAATAAAATGATGGATCCTCATTAATACAGACAGGTTAACAGATTTTCCTGTTTAACGGCTTTTCTTTCCTCCTTTTTTATATCTGCAACAAAGGAGAAATCTTACATACAATATTTTGTTTTATTTTATTTTATTTTATTTTATTTTATTTTATTTTAGACAGCAGTTCCTCGCCGCTCCACAAGATAGCAGTGACACGCCTGTAAACTGCTGCGTCAACAACTGTAAACACCACAGAAGAAGAGGTCGTTGTTTGTGTCGTAGTAGCAGAAGAAGAAGCGGCAGTACGATACAACCAGGGTGTGTTAGTTTGATTAAAGTATCGGGAACAGAAACCCGTGGATTAAACTGATCTGAGGTGAGTCTGACCGGCTCGTGACGAACATTACTCGGTTACAGACAACTTCTCCGGTTAAACACTCCGTTTATTCACACATTACTCTGTTAGCGTTACCATTAGCGGTTTCCTGATAGCTTCAAACAAACTGAAACTTAAAAAACTCTACTTATCAATACAAATTAACGGTTAATAACGGTCAGTAACGGTAGTTGACGGTACGGTACAGACTGACCAGGGGGTGGGTAAATGTGTCGGTGATTCATCAGAGAAAAACGTCCCTTCACAAACCTCTGGTTAGCTTCAGCTAAGCTAACAGTGGCTAGTAAAGTTTAGTTAAACTATAGGAGCTAACCGCTAACAGCTAATGTGTTGGTGATCTGTATATATCACAGTACATGTATAGAATATATAAAAGTACATATGTAGAATATATAACAGTCTATATATATGTTTGTATATGTGTTTAATACAAGTGTTTTGTGACTGACAGATGTATTACTACCGGTATGAGAACACTGAGGTCAGCTGCTGCTACAAGTATCTCATGTTCAGTTACAACATCATCTTCTGGGTGAGTCACATCATCACACACACACATTCACCTGTTCACGTGATCACTTTTCCCCCTGTTTACATGTTTTATTTATCATATACATCTACAGTGACTTGTTCACCTGCTGACTTGTATACTTGCTGACTTGCTGACTTGTTTACTTGCTGCCATGTTTATCTGTTGACCTGCTGACGTGTCGACTTGTTTACTTGCTGACTTGTTGTCATTCTGCTATGTTTATCTTTTGACCTGCTGACATGTTTATCTGTTTACATGTTGACTTGTTGGTGTGTTTACCTGAGGAACTGCCTCAGGCTGAGTTGTGTTTTCTCTGAAACGTTTTCTTTTCTGGGCGTTGGTTAAGAGGACTTCCTGTGTAGAGTAAAAATTGTCTGTGGCTGAACAGGAAGAGTCTCAGCTGTTATGAAACATCCTGAGCCATGTACAGACACGAACATTTTGATGTGAGAGCTTTCAGTCAGTGTCTGTGGTCTTCCTCCTGTGGGGTTTTGATATACAGTGTGATGAAACTCCTTCTGGATAAAGTTTGGTGTCAGAGTGTGAATGTAATATTTGCTTCATGTTGTTATTGGACAGTTTAACATCAGAGCTGAACATCATCTGCAGATGTTCAACACATTTACAACTACATCTGTAAGGAACATGAACATGAGTGGTCAGTTTACACAAACTGGTTCCATCACATGATTCAACTCTGTTATCACGTAAGAGGCTGGATCTGTGCTAACGCTGGTGTCTGATGGATCCATCTAATTGCTGGTGTGTGTGTGTGTGTGTTGCAGCTGGCTGGAGTTGCCTTCATTGCGGCTGGTTTCTGGGCCTGGAGTGAAAAGGTGAATTAACACATGCAGTCAAAAATAAGTATATTAACTATAAACTTATTAAAACAGCAACTGTCTCATATAAAGAACATGTCATCATGTCAATATTAGGGATGGGTCATCAAATTATAAATAAATCAAAGAGTTTATGTGACTGTCTTTTGTAAATATATTTCTTCAGTTGTTTTTTACTGGTGCCTGGTGGATAAATAATTCATTACTACCAGAAGGGGGAAGTAATGCATTTAAGAGTCATTTGCTTGCTGCCATTGAACAACAGTCTACTACTATCACAAGGTTCTGGTCTGTTTTGGTTCACAGGGAGTCCTGTTGGACCTGACCCAGGTGACCCAGCTGCATGGTTTCGACCCGGTCTGGTTGGTCCTGGTGGTCGGTGGAGTCACCTTCATCCTGGGCTTTGCCGGCTGCGTGGGAGCTCTGAGAGAAAACATCTGTCTACTGAAGTTTGTACGTTAAAAACATCTGTTTACTGAAGTTCGTACATGAAAAACATCTGTATGCTCAAGTGTATACGTTAAAAACATCTGTACGCTCACGTTTGTATGTTTAAAAACATCTGTATGCTCAATTGTGTACATTAAAAACATCTGTACGCTCACGTTTGTATGTTTAAAAACATCTGTAAGCCCAATTTGTACATTAAGAACATCTTTCTGTGTGTTTTCTTTGACGTTTAAAACCATGTTTGTGTTTTTTCGTTCAGTTTTCGGGCATGATCGGCTTCATCTTCTTCCTGGAGCTGCTGGCGGCGGTGCTGGCTGTGGTTTTTCAGAGTCAGGTTAGAGCGTGGCTCAACGACTTCTTCCTGGCGAACATCAAAGCGTACAGAGATGACATCGATCTGCAGAATCTCATCGACTCTCTGCAGAGGATGGTAACTCATCACTGTCCACTGTTTTTACTCACATTTATTCTGTTAATCGTGTAAATACATTTGTCCTGGGACAAAATAAAAAATCATGGCCATCAAAGGTTTAGAGAAAAGCACAGGAAACTCAAAAGGCCTTTCTTTGTGTTAAGCGTCTTGCTTCTGGTTGGTAGAAGTATTTTTTTGTATAAGAGAACCACTGCTGTGTTCAAGAACCGTTTAGTTTTTAGGATCTTGTTTGTTGTTAATTGAATGATTTTGATTGTTTACAAATTAAGTATTTTAAGTACCTCTCTTATCCTGTACCCTTCCTGTGAGGCTCAAGAAACTTTAAACTTTAGAAACTTGCACCTGTTGAAGGATGTAGTTTCATGTTGGGTGAAGGATGTGGTTTTTGTACCAGAACAACTGCTGTGGAGCTCAGGAACCTTTTAGTTAACCTTTAAGTTAAACCTTTAGGATCTGGTTTCGTGTCGGGTGAAGGATCTTGTTTGATTTGAAGTTTGTTCTTTAAACAGAACAACTGCTGTGGAGCTGAGGAACCGAACGACTGGGACCTGAACGCTTACTTCAGCTGTAACGACACGAATCGCAGCAGAGAGAAGTGTGGAGTTCCCTTCTCCTGCTGCTTGTCTGATCCTGCTGTGAGTTTATCATTGATCAGTTCTTATCAATACACATCACTAGTCACCATGGTTACATAAAAAGATAACAAGTCAGACTGTGGTGATGTTCTGGAGCCGGGTTCTGTCTCACGGTTGCAGCTTGTGTTTGTTTCAGGACTCGGTGGTGAACACTCAGTGCGGCTACGACGTGAGAAACAAACCAAAGGTGAGGTTCTCACAAGAACCTTTTGATGATGTCATAACAGGAACCTGGTAAGGTTCTCACAGGAGCATGTTCTCTAATGTTGTGTTATCTTCCTGTGCAGAAGGAGTGGAGTAATGACATCTACACTAAAGGGTGTATCGCAGCGTTGGAGGACTGGTTACCTGGAAATCTCTACACTGTGGCCATTGTCTTCATCGTCATCTCTCTGCTGCAGGTACAAGCATCAACTTCAGTGTTTTTTCTTTTCCGTGGAAAAGTTTATTTGTTTTAAATCTACTAATCAATAATGTCTACCTGTCTACCTCTCGACCTGTCTACCTGTTTACCTGTTGACCTGTCTCTCTCTCTGTGATCAGATGGTGGGGATCTACCTGGCCAAGACTCTGGTCACCGACATCGAAAAAGCCAAATTCAGCTACTGAAGTCTACATCTTAAGGGGCGGGGCTTTACACCAGGTGTTACTGGACCAAGTTTCTTCATTCAGACACGTGCCTTCTTTTTCTACTTCTTCTTCTTCTACTTCTTCTTCACATCATCAGGTCAGCCTTCTGATGATGATGTTGCTATGATGACTGAAAACATGGCTTGCTTTGTCTGTTTACATTGACTGTTCAGAGACCCTGAAGTCCTGAGAGATATATTTTTTCAGTGTGAAAGATCCATCTGAAATCTTTGAGAACCTCTGAAGTTCTGCTGATGTTTTTATTTTTATATTTAGATTTTCGTCAATGACTGATCTGTAGCTGCTCAGCGCCACACTGCCTTCGCTTTTCCTATTTCCAATTTCTCGCTGCTACTCTTCAGACTGCAGCTTCAGTCTTTTTCTACTGTTTGAATGTTTGTTGAACCAATGTGCCCTTTGACCTGATTGGCTGTTTACCCTTCAGTGCCTCCTTAATCATCATCATCATCATCATCATCATCATCATCATCATCATCATCATCATCATCATCATCATCATCAGTTTCAGTGATTTAAAACCTGTCTGAGGTGTCTGATCTCAGTTCAGGTGTAAATTCGACACAGAGAGGGAGGAGTCAGTGATGTCATCCAGGTGTGACAGCAGGTGAAGTTCCCTCCTTACTCTGTGATCACAGCTTCATGTCATTTAGAAATGATGCCACATCAGAGTGTAAAAACAGAGGTTGAACTTTATCCAATTAGAGCTCAACATATAAAGATGGCCCAGCCTCCAACACTGAAACTTCAAAATAAAAGCACAAACTGAATGATTATTTTCATTATCGATCAATCAGCTGACAGTTTTCACAGTGAAAGTGAAACAGTGAAAACTGTTGTCTGGAAAAATATTCACTTTTCCATAATCAGCAACAAATACAACAAAGAGCAGAAGCGAATCCTCGTGTGAATATGGACACATGAGATTCGGTTTCTGATTCATTTTTCTGTTGATTGATTAATTGATTAATTGGCTGATTGTTGCATTAAAATGAAACTAATTGTAAACTGTGAAAGTGTCAAACTGATAAAGGTTCATTCAGGCTGCCTTTGAATCCTCAATCCAGACTACAGACTCTCACTGTACATATGTAGTACATACTGTTCCAGTACTGCATATAGTAGTAATATATCAGTATGTGGTACACAGAAGTACTGAACACTGGGAGTATCAGACTTTAAACAGTCTCAAGATGAAATCAGTTTAAAACAGAAATCTTTAAAATCGTGGACTGTTCCTTTAAAAGGCTTCAGGTCATGTGATCACATGTTTGATTAATATGAAGGTTTTGAACTTTATTGACACTGGATTCATGTTAACAAGCTTTGAATAAATAAGGTGTTTTTGTTGAGTTACTTTGTATGAATAAAGGTTTCAGGATGTTTGAGCCTTTCCAGAGAGAATATTCAGAATTAACGTTAAACTTCTGCTTTAATTTTTCTATTGTTTTTCTCTTTCTGTTGATGAATTCATGGATGGATGATTTAATTTCTTTGGTTTGTGTTTAAAAACCAGACAGCTTTTATTCTGAAGGAATTGTGTGTTTTTTTTTTTTTATAAAAGTGAATTTTTTTTATCTTTTTATATTCAACTAAATAAAAAATGAAATTTGGTCAGAGTTCATTGTTTGATCTTTTTTGTTCATTTATCAAAGTTAAATAGTTTTTTTAATGTAAGAAAAGTTCAAACGAAAGTAGAGAACAGAAGAAGCTTTTATTTAAAACGTTTTTGTATTGATCACTTATTGATCAGAGTGTTTCAGTTTTCAGCTGATTGATTTTTAACATATTGACGTCACAAAGTGAAGAAGAAATTTGATTCATGACATGAGAAGAAAAGTAAAGAATGAATTACACGTCATGAATGAAACGTGAAGAAACTGAGTTTGGTCTGATTTATTGATTATAATCTGATTAATCAATTAAAGGTCCATATTGTACACCATATTGTTTTATTTTGCAGTGTTGATCCATAAGAAGATATATTTGTGGTTTTAAGAACCAAAAACCATCTCAGTGTAGTTTCACATCTCCTCTCTCAGGCTTCTCTCTGGAGCTCTAGTAACAACAGGTCGGTGAGCCAATCAGAAGAAAGGAGGCTCTGAGCCTCTCTTCTGATTGGCTGACTGTTTTCTGAGTGATCCAATAAAAATAAAGCAGATTTCAGGTAAAAACACTCAGAGAAACCAAATCCTGCAAGGTTTGGATGGTGGGTCCAGGTGGGCGGGGCTTGGTGACTGCTTTGTTGTGACATCACAAAGTTCCAGAAGTCCTGACGGCTGGTTTTAAGGCTCAGTTTCTGAATACAGGCTGTGTGCATTTCTCTGTGGACTGAGGCTTTGATACTTTCACAGTATTAATATAGAAGCTAGACCTGATCTATAATCACACTACACATGGACACAGACCTTTACACTGGAGGAGCTTTAAGTAAAGATACACTTTGTGGATCCAGGGCAGGTAAATGAAGGTGTGATAGTGTTTACAGCCTGTTTCAGGTTGACTTTAACTCTCTTCCCTGACACTGAAACTCCTTTATGTGGAAAAAGTTGACAACAAAATCTGCTCCTGATTCCTTAAATATTTTATTCTAAAGTCACTTCTTTGTCAACTGGACTGATTAACATAATTTGTGATCTGAGCTGTTTTGTTTTCAACAGCTTCATGTTATCAAAAGCCAAAGTTTCCTGCTCAATCTTTCTTAATAAACACGTTGTTCAATCACTTCCTGTGCGCGTGCATGAGTGTGTGTGTGTGTGTGTGTGTGTGTGTGTGTGTGTGTGTGTGTGTGTGTGTGTGTGTGTGTGTGCACAGGGCGGCGCTGCACAGCACCATCTAAACCCTGAGAAACAGAAACACTCCGCAGTGCAGCAGCTCCTCTGAAACCTGAACCCCCCTCTCTCCTTCTGTCTGTACTCTCTGCACAGCCCCCTCCTCCCCCTCTCCTCCCCTCTCCTCCCCCTCTCCTCCTCCAGGGGAAGCGCGCTCTGCCAGAGCAGGCGGAGTCGGAAACGCGCAGCAGCGTCGGTCCGTCGTGTCTGCGGCTCCGCGGATTCTCTCGCCTCCCTCTCGGCTGTCGGATCCTCCGGGGAACGGCTTCTTCTTCCAGCCCGCGGGAAAGCGGCGGATCTTCGGCCTCACGGACGGACGGACCCGGCGGGCAGCGCGGCGGGGACATACCCGGCTCGGCTCGGCTCGGCTCGCTTCCTCCTCCTCCCCCGGTGCGGTGGAAAAACCCGGACGGAGGCCCGCAGTGTGCGCTCAGCCTCCCGCAGGCCTCCGGCCCGGACTCCCGCTTTTCTCCCGGAAAATGGACGGATTCACCGGCAGTTTAGGTGAGTCCCGCGCGCCGCTCGCGCCCTCTACATCACCTGGTCACCTGTCCGTGCAGCGGCGGGAAGGTGAGAGCCGCACGCGCCTCTGGCGGCTTTACACGTGTCACTGCTGTATTTATCAGAAAGACTCTGCACCGCCCCTCCGGCGGCTGCTGGGCCACAAAAGCAAGTGCTCCTCCTGAAGTAGACTCTGCAGAGACCCGGACCCCCCCCAAAGATAAAGACCTGGATCTGTTAGGGACCAGCAGAGACCAGCAGGGAGCTTTTATTGGCTCTGAGACTCTGAAGGTCCTCAAACCACAGCTTGGAAACCAGACTGTTGTAGAGTGTGTGTGTGTGTGTGTGTGTGTGTGTGTGTGTGTGTGTGTGTGTGTGTGTGTGTGTGTGTGTGTTATAATATGTGTGGACTCTGATCTGCAGAACAAAGAGTCAGGAAATGATTTATTTATTCATCCAGTCTGTTCACACACACACACACGCATGTATGTGTGTGTGTGTGTGTGTTTGTGTGTGTGTGTTTCAGGATGTAGTCTGCAGTATATAAACAGATGTCGGAGTGATACTGAATGAAATTAAACTGAAGAACAAAGGAAGCAGCAGCTGATATAAAGTGATTGAACTTTATAAAACCATTGATCAGCTTGTTTCAGGTCATTCAGATCAATCAAACTTTATGTCACCTGTGACGCAGGTGAGTGCCAGTCAGAGTGTTGCAGCACAGAATCAAACAGGAAATAAAAACAACAAAACCAATAAAACATAAAAACAAGACAACACACAATAACAAATAAAACGGGTCAAAGGTCACCTGCAGCAGGTACACGTCACTGTATTCAATATGAATCAACTTTTAAATGAACTTAAGTAACATTCATTGATCTCTCTTGTCATTAATTAAACCTTTAGTGTGAAAAGCTAAACCACTGAAAACATCTGAATGTGAAAAGACTAACGAACAGATAAGGTGGACGTTAAAGAGCATGAAATGTTTTCCACCTGAATTCAGATGTTTAACGTCGCACAGATTAAATTATTAATTAATTTATATTTATGTTTTTTTTTATTTTTTTTTATTAAAAACTCCAAAGTTCAATAACATGAAAACAAACCCTGAACTTGATTCAATTTTTCATTTAAACTGGGAAGATGATCCATTAAAATTATTTTAATAACACACACAGTTTATATCAGAGTCTAATCCTTTCATTTCTCCGGTTGTAAACCGCCTTAAAAATCACATAAGTAATCAATATTTTGTGATGTAATTGGTGTCAGTGTTTGTTTGTGTGTGTTTGTGCTGGTACCTTGAAAAACAATTAATATCAGGAGATAAATCGTTGGATCAGTTTCGGTTTCGGCTGCGTGATCAGGATCTGGTTCCAGGTTCAAACCAGGACACGGTTTCACAAAGACAGACTCTGACTGTGGTTTAGATACAACAAACAGTCAGACTTCAGATAGACTGAATTCATCTGTTGCACAAAGCAGTTTAGTTCTTGACTATCTTAAGCCGGACTGTGGTGCAATGAATTCTGGGTAAATTAAGACTTTTTTCAATATAAAAGCTCCGTTTGCCCTAAGAAGAAAATGTTTGTCTTTTGGCGGAATTCAACAGTTAAAAGGACGTTTTATTTTGGAAATTCAGCGGAAAAGAGAAACAATGAAAATGAAAAAATCTAATTTGTTCAGTGCAGGTGTCATAAGTTATTACCATGGCAACATTAGGTCCTAGGCCTGAGTTAGCCTGGGGGTAAGGTATCCAATGTTTTTGTTTTAGTATTAGTCAGTTTTCATTTTTGTGAGATACTTTTACCTGCATTAAACTAGAATATGAGCAACATGAAGACTGGACCAACACCACAGACCAGTCCGAGTTAGGTCTCCTCAGATTCTCTGGATTGTCCAGGATCCTCATTTAAAAACCACTTCGTACGCACAAAACAGACATAAACAAGCACGCAAAAGTTTCTGACCTGTGACCACCTGTGTCATCATCACCTGTGACAGAGAGAAACATCTGTATGCTTGATGTGTATTATGTTTTTTTTAGATGATTAAGACGCCACACACTGTTTTATAAATGAGCTCCCATGTCTGTCCTGGTCTGTCTGTGTCTCAGTCTTTGGTCTGGACCGGTCCTGTTGTGGTTTTGGGTCTCAGACAGCAGGACTGGAGGCAGGAAGTCGGTTACAGACGGGTCCCTGTGGAGGACAAACATTAATGCTGTGTTGGATGGATGGTCTACATGAGTCCAGGACCAATGAGGTTCATGTTGCTTCATGAATAGAAAGATGAATCTGTTTTAAAAGACCAGGTCTGAGGTTTAGGATCTGCTCTGGGTTTTGATGTTGTCTCTGATCTGATCCTGGACTTGTTAAAGAATCCAGTTGATGATGTTTTCATGTTGGAGGCTCGACCTTTGACAAATTTATCATCGCTTTGGATAAGAGAGTCGACCAGCGAATCAGCTTGTTGGTTCAGTCTTTGTTCTCACCAACTTTTAAAGGATCTATATGTGAGTTTTTGCTATTGCTACATAGCTAACGTTAGCTTTAGCAGCTGTTTACCTTACCAGTCAGGAAGAAGCGTGAAAAGTTCCACATCAAACTTAATTCTGTCTCCAGAGGTGGAAAACAACCCTCTTGATTTGCTTCTATTTCTATCACTTCTTTTATTCTACTGAAGTTAGCATGCTAACCAGCTAGCTCCAGTGAAGTGGTCACTTTCTGATACTGAGTCACTGTAGTGTCCAGTCTGCCCTCACAGGACGTATTATAACCTCTCGTGTTGTAAACAAAACAGTGGCTGAAGATCTTGGCTGAAGACTGGTAAATAAACAGCTGTTGATGCTAACGTTAGCTACACAGCATTAGTAAAACATACAAATGGCTCCTTTAAATCATCAGTAGTCGCTCCATCGTGGTTTCTCTCTCTTTCTTGTTCCTGAGCTGCGAACTTGAACACATCAGGTCGTTCAGATGTGGCTGTGACTGAGTTTGGTGAAGATCGGATCAAATGAGTCATTAACACAAACCTGTGACTAGCTACATGGTGACGCTGTGAGGAGGTGCCACGGCAGCTTAATGTCATCAACATTTATAGTTCCATTGATATTAGAGGAGAGAGACGTCAAAGAATCAAAAAATCATACATCTGAACTGACACTGGTGGTGTCACTGAGGCATGTGTGTGGACGGGATTTGAAGAAACAGGGATATAATTAAAACAGCTTAAGCTGATGTTGCTCCAGACTGACCAATGGGATGAAAGAAAAAAAACAACACACAGGTACTAACAGGTGATTACTTGTATTTCCAGGGAACTAACAGAGTCTTGACTCAGATTACCTGAAGCACAGTGACAGGTTGTATCTGTTAACGCTTCAGATCCTCAGACACACCTGTGGCGGATCAGTCTGGTCTGAACTGGGATCAGATTTACAGAGGAACACGATCATCAGCTGTTTCACGTGTTGCTGCTGCAAACTCGTCTTTAGAGTCGAGCCGACTTCGTCTGAAACCAAGTGTTTCTACCTGATCTGAAGGTAAAAGAGATGTGATGTGGTTTGAATATGGCATCTGACTCTGACATCACAGCCTCCTCCCTCACTGATTGGTCAACTGTGTGGAGGCAGGACTCTAAGGCTTCGTCCACACTGATGCATTTTCATTTTATAATGGCGTTTTAAAACAAAGACTAGCGTTCTAGCCCGTGACCATTCACCTACACGGGGCATGTGCGAGCCGGTGTAAACAGGAACTAGATTTTCTACTCTGCTGTTGATTGGTTGCAGTAGATCCTCTGAAGAAGGAACAGCAAAGACAGTTTCTGTATGCCCAGACTACAACACAACCCTAGAGTTTTCAAAATAAAACACAACCCCAGAGTTTCCAGAATAAAACGGGTCGTGCTGCGTTTCTGAAAGTCTCCATTTTAGGCGCTCGGAAACTCTAGAGTAGTTAACGTAGGATTTAACGTAGACTTTCAGAAACTCTGTTGGACGCGTTTTATTTTGAAAACTCTGGGGTTGTGTTGTAGTCTGGACAGACAGAACTTTGTAAACGATGAGGTCACACCCACGGTCTCTCCTGATTGGCTCTCATCAGCCTGGACTACCAGTGGTGAATACAACATGATAATGAATGACAGTGTTACTGACCTTGTTGTCTTTGGCTAGCAGCTGTTGTTCACTTACATTCTCTGTTTTAATGCTACAACTGTCTTTGCTGCTCCTCATTTGTTGTATTTAAAGTAACTAATCAATTACAGAGAAGACAATGTACTTCCTGTTTACACCAGCTCGCACATGCTCAGTATGTGATCAAGTGTGTTCGTTTGGACGGAGATCATTTTAGTTTTAAAACGCCGTTTTAAAATGAAAACATAGTAGTGTGGATGCAGCCTAAAAATGTCTTCAGTTGTCTTCCCCATATTTAAACCAATGACACCAGCTCTGACCTCCACCTTCAGATCAAGTAGAAACACTCCTCATGTGGAGGTGGGTCAAGGTCGACAATGCGCCGTGCAAACTGGTTCTGCTGCAGAAGAACTGGACTCAGAGTTTCCAGATGGTCGAGCAGACAGACTGCTGACACACTAACCTACAGACACACACACACACACACACACACACACACACACACACACACACACACACACACACAGGAAGAACGAAGAATGTGTTGGATTGTTTCCTGGACCAGAAAGAGTGTGGAGGCTTGAATGTCTGTCTCTGTGAGGACCAGTGTCAGTTTAAACCTCTGTAGTGAGGACAGTCCAGCTCTTTGAGGACACGTTGTGCGGTCCTCAGAACTTCAGAATCCTGTTTGAAGGTTCGGGTTTGGATCGGGGTCAGAGACCTGGAAACATGTCATGACAACGAGGGTCCTCACAAGTACAGGCAGACAAACGTGTGTGTTTGAGTGAAAAATGTGGACTTCCCTCCCTGTTGTTGTTGGAGTCAGCTGAACTGAATTACAGAGCCCACTATCTGTGTGTGTGTGTGTGTGTGTGTGTGTGTGTGTGTGTGTGTGTGTCTGTGTGTCTGTGTGTCTGTGTCTGTGTGTCTGTGTGTGTGTTGTAGTAAAGCAGACATGCAGACACATGCAGCGTCTACATGTCTGAACCTTTAGTTTTTCTCTGCTGCTGCATCACTGACTCAAAAACAATCAGAAAAATCAGCTGATTATTAATAAATAATTTTCTTCACAGTTAAAATTTATAGATTAAATCCCCAAAAACACACTCTCACTCTGTCGGTTTGAGTTCTGCTTTACAAGAAACATGAAAAATGAAAATACTGGATATTGACTGATACTGATCAATACCAGATTGATAAGCTCAATGATCAACAATCTGCTTTCTGCATCCTCCTCATAATAGACATGATTCTCAAATGTAGATCTGGTGGTTCACTCCTCACACATCAATCAATAATACTCTCTGATTGGATGTCAGTTGACTGGGTGTAACCATGACAACTGACTGATTCTTAAGTTAGTAGTGATATTACAAGTTAATTTGATTGATTTTAAATGTTTAAATGTTGCATCATCCGTTTTTATTGATCCGGCTTCTGTTTTAGTCCATCGACACAGGCTGAGTAACTTTTCAAGTTTAATTTGCACTATTGATTATAGATCGAAAGCGTATTTTGACGCGTCAAGTCTGTTCTAGCTTGTGTTACGTGTGTAACTGCAGTGATTGTGTCCTTACCTCCGAGTGCTGCCAGAACACAGACGACCTACACTTAGTCATGCACCTGAACGCATCCTTTGTAGACACTGTAACATGGTGAAAATAGTTATTATAACATTATAAAGGTTTACAGTCAGTCAGACAGTCACGTCCTGTAAACTGTGATGTGTTCAGTGACACTGTGTGAATATGACAGTTTTACATTTATTGTTCCTGTTCAACTGTTTCCTTCATGAAACAGGAAAAATATGAAGGTTTTGGTGTCAGTCTGACTGAGAGTCACTGAAACCCAGAATTAAACTGACAACACACACTTTAAAACACGGAGGAGGTTGTGTGTGTGTGTGTGTGTGTGTGTGTGTGTGTGTGTGTGTGTGTGTGTGTGTGTGTGTGTGTGTGTGTGTGTGTGTGTTGTGAAGGGGCGGCACTTAGAGCTGAGGAATGTGGGAGACAGCTGTGAAATATGACACATACACCAGTGTGTAACACCCCCCCACCCGCCCCTGCTTTCATACATGCACGCAGACACCTGAATGCTGACCCCCCCCCCACTCATCTGTATTTACAGACAGTTTAAACATGTAAACAACACATGAAACATTTTTAACTTTAATGACTGTAATGATGGTTTTATTTTGAAAGGACTGGTAAGTGTGTGTCTTTCAGCTGATGTGGTGATGCTGCAGATACAGACAACCATGAGTCCACCTTAACTCCAGGTTACATGTAAAGTTAAGGTGGAGTGTGTTAAGGTGGAATGTTAAGGTGGGATGACATATTGACACCCAGTGTCTGTGTCTGACCGTAGATGACAGTATGTCCGGAGCGAGTGTCTCAGATGTCAACGATCGTCTCTCTGCTCTGGAGCTCCGTGTCCAGCAGCAGGAGGATGAGTTGACGGTCATGAAAGCTGCTCTTGCCGACGTCCTGCGGCGTCTCGCTGCCTCTGAAGACTCCGCTGCCTCCACGACCAAAAAACAGCAAGGAGGGAAAGGTAAGGTTTCCTGTTTTTAACCAGTTAAAGAATAAAGACTGAATTTAACCAGTTAAAGACTGAATATAAATTGGTTAAACTGTTGAATTCAGTCTTTAACTGGTTGTAGTTGGTGTTAACAGTGGTGTTTCCCCCTCAGGTGGTGCTGCTCTGCGTGAAGCCTACTCGATGTCCTGTATCGCTAACGGGGGAACATCTGGACGAAAGAGAGACTCCACATCTGTCACCAGGAAGGAGACGTTGTCATCCGCCGCCAAGAGGTAAAAAGAGATGGACAAACATTTGTTACAGTTTCCATGTTTCTGTTTTGAAGCCTCGTGTATTTAAATCTGTGTCTTTTTACTTCACAGCTGATTCATTTCAGCAGATCTGATCAATCTGATCAATATCTGCTATTATTCATTTATGCCCAATGCTGTAACCTGCCAAGTCAAAACCAGGCTGGAATCCAGTAGAAGGCAGTAGAGTTAGTCAGCAGCCTGATCTGAAGTTTATTTTAAGTAGCTGGTTCTCGATCACTGGGGTCATTAAGTAGAACACAGTAGAATCAGTAGAAACACAAGAGAAGCAGCAGAGCGACGGTACTCATTTCTGATCTCTCACAGTCCTGGTTTTGTCCACAGGAAGAAGGAAGTCAGAAGCCTGCGGTCTCAGACGGAATTTGGTGGTTTGAATCGTTGCAGTAAACACAGTAGACTCAGTAGATGTACAGTAGAACCAGTAGAACCAGTAGAAAGAGTAGAACCAGTAGAGTCAGTAGTTTGTAGTCTCTCATGGTCCCGGTTTTGTCCACAGTGGAGCAGACAGGAAAAAGGAGGTCAGCAGCCAGCGGTCACAGATGGAGGAGATCCAGGAGCGTGAGGAACCACCTCACCCAAAGGACTCGTCCCCCTCTCCCTCCTCCCCCCACCCTCCCCAGACCTCTCAGACCCCCCAGCCACAGAGACCGACCCAGTCCGCAGACAGCAGTAAAGGCCACGCCCCTCCGAAAAGGTTCCACTTTGTGATTTGTCAGCTGCATTTGACCTCACTTCCTGCTGACGCTGCTCTGAGATCATTCTGTCGATGGTTACTAACCCCGCCCCCAGGATCCACAGTCCTCCTCTGCACCTGACCATTAGGTACAGATGCTCCTGATTGGCTGAACGCAACCGATCCAGCTAATCAGGTGTAGAAAGAACAGGGACTGTGGCTCCTCAGGAGCAGGTGTCAGTGACCTCCTGGAGATCCTGGATCCTCCTGACTCCTCTTTTTGCTTTGTTGTTAGAAAGCTCAGGCTGGGCCGTTTGATCAAAACTACTAACCTGGGCTCCTCCCAGCTTCACCTGAGGACCTCCTCTCCCAGTGGACCTCCTCTGGTCTAACTCCTCCTGCTCCTCCTCTGCTCTAACTGGACCTTTCTTAGGCCTCCTGGAGATTCTTGATCCTTTAGGAATTTCTGTGAGATCTTGAGGATCCAGGAGATTCAGGAGCTTCACGAGACCTCCTGGAGATCCTGAAATCTCTTGAGACCTCCTGGAGCTTCCTTGAGATCCTGGATCCTCCTGACTCCTCTTTCCTCTTCGCTGGTAGAAAGCTCAGGCTGGACTGTGTGTGTTTTATCAAAGCTACTAACCTGTTCTCCTCCTGCTCTTTACCTGAGGACCCGCTCCTCCTGCTCTTTCTCCTCTTCCTCCTCCACCTCCTCCTCTCCTCCAGCAGGCCTCCCGCAGTCTGGGCTTTGAGTTTCTGATGTGTCCCAGCTCACTAACCTCCTCCTGGGTTGTGTGTTAGTTTCTGAATCAGTTCAGTGAACTAAATGACGACTGAAGTTTTAATCAGTTAAATCTGAACACAGGACATGACTAGAACAGGACTACTAACCAGGTTAGGACAAGGTCACACCTCCACGCCTCCCATCAACATGTTGACCTTCTGACCCATGAGTTCTCAGTTAATATTACATTATTACATAAGTTATTACTATCTTATTACATGAGCTATTGCTACATTATTACATGTGTACGCAGTAGTTATTACTATGTTATTACATGAGGTGTTACTACCTTATTACATGAGTATGCAGCAGTTATTACTACCTTATTACATGAGTTAATACTACATTATTACACTGATACTATGTAGTGATTAGATTGTTACGTGAGTATGCAGTAATTACTACGTTATTACATGAGCTATTGCTACATTATTACATGTATACGCAGTAGTTATTAGTACTCAGAAATACTTACTACATTAATACACTAATACTCTGCAGTTATTACATTATTATGAGTACTCAGTTATTACTACATTATTACACGAGTATACAGTAGTTATTACTACATTATTACTTGAGTACGCAGTAGTAATTACTACATTATTACATGAGTTATTACTACATTTCTTCATGAGTACGCAGTAGTTATTATTATATTATTACATGAGTTATTACTACATTATTACATGAGCTATTACTACATTACTACATGTGTACGCAGTAGTTATTATTATATTATTACATGAGTTATTACTCCTTTTCTACATGAGTACGCAGTAATTATATTATTACATGAGTTATTACTACATTATTACATGAGCTATTACTACATTACTACATGTGTACGCAGTAGTTATTATTATATTATTACATGAGTTGTTACTACATTATTACATGTGTACGCAGTAGTTATTACTACATTATCTTTTACACTGTTCATGTCCTGGCCCCTGAGTCTGTTGCTGTATAATTAAAACACAGAAGCTCAAAATATTAAAGATGTGAAGTGATAAAATGTGGAAGATGAATCTCAGGACAAAAAGCTTCACATACAAAATCAAATTCATGAAATACATCAACAACAGAAACGTGACAGTGAAAGACGTGCAGTCGTCATCTGGCGCTGAACAGATTCTCTAGTCGTGCTTCATCATCATCATCATCCTCCTTCTACAGCACTACTGTGTTACTGACTGTGTGTTTCTGTGTGTTTCTCTTCTCTTGGTGTGTATATCTGTGTGTGTATATTCTGTGTGTGCGTGTTCAGGGGACCCAGTGTGAAGCGGTCCTCAGGTATGGAGCGTTCTCAGAGCAGCACCTGGGAGAGTTCAGAGGAAAACAGGAACAAACTGGTGAAAGCTGCATCCACCTCCAAGCTGCTGGCCAAGGTGGTCAAGAACGCTGAGAGGTATCAACACACACACACACACACACACACACACACACATATGTTAACACACATGAAGCTGCACAAAGCCAGTGGTTGGTATTTTAATGGAAACTGACATTACTGTGAATCTTAAGACTGAGATGTTCGTTTTTCTTCTTCTGTCTTTTTTCAGGCACAAAGACCCAGTGGTCAGTCAAGGTAAACACATGTTCATCTTCAGCATAACAGGACCATAGTCATCATCATCATGTGTTACAGCCAATAGGAAGCCAGAGCCGCCGCCAACAACAACACTGCCTCTGAGACATTTCAAACATTTCCCTTTACTGGTTCCTCAAGTGTTTAGTTTCCATCTGAGTCTCAGATTCAGTGTTTGCAGTTGTTGTTTGTTGTTGTGTTATTGTTATCGTTTGTGTTTGTGTCGATGTTTGTGTTGTTTTTGTTGATGGTTGTGTTGTTGAGTGACGATGTCTTTGTCCCAAACCAGCCAAAATGTCGACCCGAGAGAAAAACAGCCAAGCTGGTAAGTCCTGATGAGTCGTCAGAGCGAGCTAGCAGGCTAACAACAAGCTAACATGCTAACAGCAGCTGAATGAGCGCTTCCTGTTTCTGCTCTAAACCAATCACATCTCTCTGTCTCTCTCTCTCTCTCTCTCTCTCCCTCTGCTTTTTATCGTCAGCCTCGCTCACCCTCCTGCTCTCTCTCCCCTTCAGACTGTTCAGGTGATGTCACACCTGTCTGTGGCTCCGCCCCCTAACATCATTTACCTCCATATAAGGTCGAACAGGTGATTTTTTTTAATGAATCTGCCTGATGAGACTGATTATTAAAGGACCAATCAGTCATACAAACAGAAACCCCGCCCACCACCACCACCTGTCAATGACATGATTGGACGCTGATGTCACCCCCACGTTTATTGACAGCTCATTCAAGGTCAAATAAAATCATATTTTTTAACAGCAGTGATTCTGTGGAGGTAAACTACAACACAGCACCTGCTTCACCTGCATCACCCGCATGACATCAACTCCTCCTTACCTGTCCCTCACCTGTCTCTCAGCTGACCCTCACCTGTCTGTCTGTCTGTCTGACTTTGATTGTTGTGTCTCATTGAATCAGCAGGTCTCAGTCTGTGTCAGGTGATCTGACACAGACTGAGACCTTTAATATTACCTGTTCTAACAGGTCACAGTTCACCTGTAACAGAGAACAGTAAAAGACCGGGGCGTTGTGATACCGATCGGTCTTTTATCGATTATCTGTATCCAAATTCAATCCAATATTTGTGTTTGGTGACAACGAGACTCAAAACAAATTCAAAGCGACCTCCTGGGATGAAGCGGCAGCAGCATGTCTCCAACATGTCCTCCTCTCTGTGTCTCTCTGCCATTTCAGAGGGGAACCTCATCAAGATGTTCATGCGTGGTCGACCGATCACCATGTTCATCCCGTCAGACGTGGAGAGCTACGTCGACGTTCGGACAGAACTTCCTCCAGAGAGACTGAAGCTGGAGTGGGTGTATCCTTCACTGATGGGACACAGTTACGTCCAATAGTAGTCATAGTAACAATAATCATATTGATGATAATGAATCGTGTTGTTCAACACGTCATGCAAGAAAAAGTTCTTCATGTTCAGGGACAACCGCTTCACATTTATTAGAAATTGAAGACGACGTCAACAGTTGAAAACTAGACACAGCAGCTTCACACTATAATATAATAATAATACAATACAATAATAATAATGATAATGATAATAATAAGCCTTATTTATATAGCACCTGAGAACGTAGTAGTGTAGACGTAGCCTCAGTAAATCTACAGTAGATCCCCCAAGTGACTGACCCTCAGTAAATCAGCAGTATTCATTTCCTAGATCCTCAGTAGATCATCCTGAAGAGACCTTCAGTAGCTCCTCAGTGTTCTTCAGTAGATCTCCACTAGAACTCTTTCAGTAGATCCTCAATAACTTCATTAGATCCTCTACGGATCATCAGTAGATCTCCAGGTGCTTCATTGGCTCACGGTGGTAGAGACTGGAGAGCGAACGTCTTCCTCAGTAGAAATGTAAATCTTCAGAAGATCTGTAGTAAACCCTCAGTAGATGTTGAGTAGATCTCAGTAGATGTCCAGGTTCCTCCTTGACCTTGGACAGGTACGGTTACCGTGGCCGAGACTGCAGAGCGAACGTCTACCTCCTTCCAACTGGAGAGATTGTTTACTTCATCGCCTCCGTCGTGGTTCTGTTCAACTACGAGGAGCGGACTCAGAGACATTACCTCGGACACACCGACTGTGTCAAGTGGTGAGAAAACGCTCGCACGTCATCCAGCACCTGCTGCTCTCCCATTGGTCTGTGGTGACAGGCGAGTGACGTCGTCTCTTTTATGTCTCTGTCAGTCTGGCCATCCATCCTGATAAGATCCGGATCGCTACGGGACAGATCGCCGGTGTGGACAAAGACGGACGGGTGAGGGCCGACATGGCTTATTAGACGTTTCTCATCATTGACGAAACACAAACAACAATGGACAAATTAACTAATTACTGTTTTTATGCAAAGTCCGACACCTGTAACCATGGTAACAGCACACAACAAAGATGGAGACGGCTGTAACTTCAGAAGGATTTAAATTCATGACATAAATGTGACAAAGATTTCACTTTAATGTCTCACTAAACAATAATAATACTAATAAAATGATGATGATAATAATAATAATGATAATAATGAATAATAATAATGATAATAATGGTAATGAACCTGTGGTGTGTTCAGGCGCTGCAGCCTCACGTTCGTATCTGGGACAGCGTCAGTCTGTCGACTCTGCAGGTCATCGGTTTGGGAACGTTCGAGCGAGGAGTCGGCTCCCTGGCTTTCTCCAAAGCTGTGAGTATCACCAGCTGCATCATGGGAAGTGTAGTCTGCACGGACCACGGTGCTGAGTTCATTGTAATTCTGTAACTGTAACTTTTAAATCTCATCTGATCACTGAAAACAGAACAGAATAATTTATCAAATTCATGTCACCTTCTCTCTCTGTCTCTCTCTCTCTCTCTCTCTCTCTCTCTCTCTCTCTCTCTCTCTCTCTCTCTCTCTCTCTCTCTCTCTCTCTCTCTCTCTCTCTCTCTCTCTCTCTCTCTCTCTCTCTCTCTCTCTCTCTCTCTCTCTCTCTCTCTCTCTCTCTCTCTCTCTCTCTCTCTCTCTCTCTCTCTCTCTCTCTCTCTCTCTCTCTCTCTCTCTCTCTCTCTCTCTCTCTCTCTCTCTCTCTCTCTCTCTCTCTCTCTCTCTCTCTCTCTCTCTCTCTCTCTCTCTCTCTCTCTCTCTCTCTCTCTCTCTCTCTCTCTCTCTCTCTCTCTCTCTCTCTCTCTCTCTCTCTCTCTCTCTCTCTCTCTCTCTCTCTCTCTCTCTCTCTCTCTCTCTCTCTCTCTCTCTCTCTCTCTCTCTCTCTCTCTCTCTCTCTCTCTCTCTCTCTCTCTCTCTCTCTCTCTGTCTCTCTGTCTCTCTCTCGCTCTCTCTCTGTCTCTCTCTCTCTCTCGCTCTCTCAGGACTCTGGTCAGCACCTCAGTGTGATTGACGACTGTAACGATCACATGTTGACAGTTTGGGATTGGCAGAAGAAATCAAAGATCGCTGAAATCAAGGTGAACACGTTTTTTATTTTTACTGCAAAATAAAACAACAATTTCATTTTTAGTTCAACGTGTTTTACAGCATCATTCAGATTCACTATAAAACATCTAACTGGTCTCTGATTGGTTCTAACTGGTCTCTAACTGGTCTCTGATTGGTTCTAACTGGTCTGTGGCGTTCTTGTAGACCACTAACGAGGTGGTCCTGGCCGTGGAGTTCCACCCCACCGACCCGAACACCATCGTCACCTGCGGAAAGTCCCACATCTTCTTCTGGACCTGGACCGGGACCTCACTGGCTCGTAAACAGGGAATCTTTGGGGTGAGGAGATTGTTTTTATTTTTCAAGTTAATTTAATTAAAATCTTTATGAAACACTGAACAACATAAAGTTGACTTAACTTCTTCAATATTAAAGAAGCACCTTTAACTATGATTGATCACACTCTGATTTATTGATCTCCGATCTGTCATGAACCTGAAGATTGTACATGTTTTGTCAGTTTTTATTAAACTTTTTACAGAGTGACAGTAACAGGATAAAAACATCAGCCTGAGAGAACTACATTTAAAACTGATCATCAGTAATCAGTCACCTCTGTTAAAGAATCCGACCTGAAGGATTGAATCAGTAAAAAGATGAATGGGGTTTTGGTGGAGACCTGAACGAAGTGAATGTGAGGAATGTGTTCTGCAGACGAGGAGGAAGCTCCACCCGGCTGAACACAAAGGAACAAACCTTCAGATTAGGATCTGATCACGGAACCACACTCACGTTCTTCTGATTATAGAAACCTGGTCAGGTTTTTCTCAGACTGTTTGAGATCCAGCAGACCTCAGATCAGTTCACGTCACAGAAAAACCAAACAGCCGGAAACAGTTGATATTTAATAATTAATAATTTAATCTCAGATCTAACTCTGTGGTCCTGGTCTAACTCTGTAGTTCTGGTCTAACTCTGTAGTCCTGGTCTCTGTAGTCCTGGTCTAACTCTGTAGTCCTGGTCTCTGTAGTCCTGGTCTAACTCTGTGGTCCTGGTCTAACTCTGTGGTCCTGGTCTAACTCTGTGGTCCTGGTCTAACTCTGTAGTCCTGGTCTATCTCTGTAGTCCTGGTCTAACTCTGTAGTCCTGGTCTATCTCTGTAGTCCTGGTCTAACTCTGTAGTCCTGGTCTAACTCTGTAGTCCTGGTCTAACTCTGTAGTCCTGGTCTAACTCTGTAGTCCTGGTCTAACTCTGTAGTCCTGGTCTAACTCTGTAGTCCTGGTCTAACTCTGTAGTCCTGGTCTAACTCTGTAGTCCTGGTCTAACTCTGTAGTCCTGGTCTCTGTAGTCCTGGTCTAACTCTGTAGTCCTGGTCTCTGTGGTCCAGGTCTAACTCTGTGGTCCTGGTCTAACTCTGTGGTCCTGGTCTAACTCTGTAGTCCTGGTCTATCTCTGTAGTCCTGGTCTAACTCTGTAGTCCTGGTCTATCTCTGTAGTCCTGGTCTAACTCTGTAATCCTGGTCTAACTCTGTAGTCCTGGTCTATCTCTGTAGTCCTGGTCTATCTCTGTAGTCCTGGTCTAACTCTGTGGTCCTGGTCTATCTCTGTAGTCCTGGTCTAACTCTGTGGTCCTGGTCTATCTCTGTAGTCCTGGTCTAACTCTGTGGTCCTGGTCTATCTCTGTAGTCCTGGTCTAACTCTGTGGTCCTGGTCTATCTCTGTAGTCCTGGTCTAACCCTGTGGTCTTGGTCTCTGTAGTCCTGGTCTAACTCTGTGGTCCTGGTCTCTGTGGTCCTGGTCTCTGTAGTCCTGGTCCAACTCTGTAGTCCTGGTCTAACTCTGTGGTCCTGGTCTAACTCTGTAGTCCTAGCCTAACTCTGTGGTCCTGGTCTCTGTAGTCCTGGTCTAACTCTGTGGTCCTGGTCTCTGTAGTCCTGGTCTAACTCTGCCCCCCTTTTCTCGTTGTATCCTCAGAAATACGAGAAGCCGAAGTTCATCCAGTGTCTGGCCTTCCTGAGCACTGGAGACATCCTGACCGGAGACTCTGGAGGAATCCTGCTGGTCTGGACCAGGAGCTCCTCTGAGACACCCACTGGGAAGGGACCGAGAGGTGAGGAGGGCCCAGTTTAAACCAGTTAGACCAGTTAGATGGTCAGTGATCCACCAGAGGAAATCAGTTCAGGTTGGTTCACAGAGACAAAACTGCACCTGCACACAGAGGAAGAGTAGAAACAGGAGAAACAGAAAAAACAGAATCAATAGAAACAGGAGAAACAGGAGAATCAGTAGAAACAGGAGAAACAGAAACAGTAGAAACAGGAGAAACAGAATCAATAGAAACAGGAGAATCAGGAGAATCAGTAGAAACAGGAGAAACAGAAACAGTAGAAACAGTAGAAACAGAAACAGTAGAAACAGAAACAGTGGAAACAGAAACAGTAGAAACAGGAGAATCAGAATCAATAGAAACAGTAGAAACAGGAGAATCAGTAGAAACAGGAGAAACAGAAACAGTAGAAACAGAAACAGGAGAAACAGAAACAGGAGAAACAGAATCAATAGAAACAGGAGAATCAGTAGAAACAGGAGAATCAGTAGAAACAGAAACAGGAGAAACAGAATCAATAGAAACAGGAGAATCAGTAGAATCAGTAGAAACAGTAGAAACAGAATCAGTAGAAACAGTAGAAACAGTAGAAACATGAGAATCAGTAGAAACAGAATCAGTAGAAACAGGAGAATCAGTAGAATCAGTAGAAACAGGAGAATCAGTAGAATCAGTAGAAACAGGAGAATCAGTAGAATCAGTAGAAACAGGAGAATCAGTAGAATCAGTAGAAACAGGAGAATCAGTAGAATCAGTAGAAACAGGAGAATCAGTAGAATCAGTAGAAACAGGAGAATCAGTAGAATCAGTAGAAACAGGAGAATCAGTAGAATCAGTAGAAACAGGAGAATCAGTAGAATCAGTAGAAACAGGAGAATCAGTAGAATCAGTAGAAACAGGAGAATCAGTAGAATCAGTAGAAACAGGAGAATCAGTAGAATCAGTAGAAACAGGAGAATCAGTAGAATCAGTAGAAACAGGAGAATCAGTAGAATCAGTAGAAACAGGAGAATCAGTAGAATCAGTAGAAACAGGAGAATCAGTAGAATCAGTAGAAACAGGAGAATCAGTAGAATCAGTAGAAACAGGAGAATCAGTAGAATCAGTAGAAACAGGAGAATCAGTAGAATCAGTAGAAACAGGAGAATCAGTAGAAACAGGAAAAACAGAATCAGTAGAAACAGAGAATCAGTAGAATCAGTAGAAACAGAATCAGGAGAAACAGTAGAGGCTCAGGAGAAATGCTGCAGATCTTGGCTCATTTTAACACTGCGACAACGTGCGCGTGCGTGTGCGTGTGTGTGTGTGTGTGTCCACGTGTGTGCATGTGTTTCAGTGTGCGTGCGCGTGCGTGTGCGTGTGTGTGTGTGTGTGTCCACGTGTGTGCATGTGTTTCAGTGTGCGTGCGTGCGTGTGCATGTGATTCAGTGGGTGTGTGTGTCTGTGTGTGTGTGTGCGTGTGTGTGTGTGTGTGCGTGCATGTATTGCTGGGTGTGTGTGTGTTGGCCCAGTTACAGTAATGGTTTTCGTGTCATGCTGTTAAACTGGTTTAAAGGAGCGACGCCAACAATTAAAGGTTAAAGATTCAAAGACCTGGAGTCAGATCAGATTCATGTCTCAGTCTGACATTAGAGTTCAGTAGAATCCTGCAGCAGGTCTGTTCAGACAGGAAGTGGAAGTTAAAGTGTTGTTGAGAGGAAACCTGAGGAGACAGAGTGTTTCTGTGTGATGTGCTGCCTCCTGCTGGCTGCTGCTGGAACTGCTCATTAAAAACAACTTGTATTGTTCACGTCATCTTTATAAAATACAGAAAACATCAACAGCTGAGTCAATTATGGTTCAGAGGGGACAGGTTTGACTCACCTGTGTGTGTCTGTGTGCATCTGTGTATGTGTGTGTGTGTGTGTGTGTGTGCAGCGTTTCAGATCAGTCGGCAGGTCAAAGGTCATGAGGGAAGTGTTTTCTGTATGTGTGAGATGAGGAGTGGCACTCTGCTGACCGGAGGAGGGAAAGACCGGAAAATTATCCTGTGGGACCACGAGCTGAGAGCTGACCGAGACATCGAGGTGACACACACATACATAAACACACACACACACACACACACACACACATCAGAAATGTATGTGTATATACAGTATGTATATACATAGAAACACACACACACACACACACTCATATACGGAAAGACACACACAATCAGGTCATGTTCTGTTTTTATCTTCAGCCCACTTGCCTCATCTGAACTCAAACTTGCTCCTCATCCTCAGATGAACAGAATATGTGTATGATTCAGTGTGACATCACTTCCTATGGATATCATTATCTCTGATGTCCCTTCAGAATAAAAGTCTAGAAATCCACTTCGAAACCACAGGCTGCAGAATTCATTCAGAATCCTCCTGTTTTTAAGTTTCCTTCAGTATCACAATGATGCAGTGATAGTTGTCTGTGCACCCATGATGCATTGCAAGCGTCAACTGATCACAGCTGATTCAGATGCTGTTAAAGGGACAGTTTGACTACATGTAAAGAAATACAGGCTTAAAAAAACGGGGCTCAAGTTGTAGCTCACAGAGTAACTCACTGAATCCATGGCAACATTATACTTCCTGCTTACATCTCTCAAAGCATGATGGGAGCAAAACTGAGCATGACTATCCCCCAAATAGAAGTAGATAGTAAATAAACACAGGAGCGACCAAATCCTGGGGTCACATGACCGTGTGTGTCTGCAG